GAGTGGGTCGGGGTTTCTCAACAAGGCCTATGCCCCAGTGGCTTCTGTGTTTTTAACCTGAGCCCTGGTCCTCCCTCCTCTCCAGCCTCTGCTCCGGACTTCTCCGCGACTCCCATGAAGAAGCTGGTGCGGGCGCAGGTGGGCAGCGTGGTGGGCCTGGACTGCCGGCCCCGAGCCGCCCCCCGGGCCGTGTGCTCCTGGAAAAGAGGCGAGGTGACCGTGCGGGAGGATGGAAGGTATTGGCTTGGTTTCCTCCCACTTTCCCCGGGGAGACCTGCGGGCCTCAGACACTATCGAAGAGGCAGTTATTTTACCTGCAAGACGGGTTTGCTCCGGAATAGCAGGGGGATGCCCTGGGGACTGGGAGCTGGGGTCCACCCTTCCCGGTCATGGTCAAGGAGCAGCTGGCCTTGATCCTAGAGGAGGAGGAGGGGGAGGGGCCTTTGGAGGAGCTGGGGTGGTCACAGCATCCTGGGGGCGGGGCTAATGTCACAGGAGCTCAGCCAGAGGTGCAGGTGAGGACTGACAGGTGGGGTGTTCTGCTGGCCAGGAGGATCCCTTCCCTCCTCCGCTGCCCTGGTCTGTCCTCCTCTTTGGGGTCCAGGTGGCAGAGCAGGACAGCGCCCCCTTCAGGCCAGCCGGCTCCATTTCCAATGAGGATTCCATCCTTCATTTTCCACATTCTGACTAGGTTTTCAATAGGAGGTGAGACGCAGTCGCATTTCAACACAACGGGGAGGTGTTTCAGGACCAGGGTAGCCTGTTTTTGTTCTGTAATTCCCCTCCTGATGACAGTAGCCGGGCCCCTGGAATCTAAAAAATAGCGCTCTCTCCCTCTTTCGCCGAGAGGACTTCACCTTAGACAGGACTTTCCCTCCCTGTCCTCATGAGTCTCCGAGAGGCAGAGCCGTGTTGAAGATGCCAGCGTTGCTCTCAGGTGGGGAGAGCGTCTCAGGCTCAGGGAATAGCGGTTAGTTCCCAGCCGAGGTCTCCGAAGAGCTGCTCTGAGCAGATAACAGGCTTATGGTGCGGAGAGCAACCCAGGCTCTCAGCATTAAGTGCTCATTCTTCCATTTGGAAATATTCTGAGGACCAGCTACAGGCTAGTCACTAGGTATTTAGTCTTTGTTTAAATATGTTTTTATTGATTTCAGAGACGAAGGGAGAGGGGGAGAGAGATGGAAGCATCAGTGATGAGAGAGAATCCTTGCTGGGCTGCCTCCTGCACATCCCACACTGGGGATCAAGCCCGGAACCCGGGCACGTGCCCTGAGTGGCATCAAACCGTGACCTCCTGGTTCATAGGTCAGGGGTCAACCGCTGAGCCACGCCGGCTGGGCTAGGTGTTTATCACACACATCACTCCCCTTGTTCTCAGCTTCTTGGAGTCTGTGAAGGTGACTCAGGGGTCACAGGGGCGCCCACTTGGGGGAGAACAGGAGGCTCTGTGATTCCCCGAGAAGGCCCGTCTGCATGTGAGGGAGCAGGAGCAGGTTTGCTGGGGGACCCGGGTCAGTGAGACCGGAGAGGTGACAAGGGTTCCTGAAGAAGCGTGCCAGGCACGGGGAACAGCACATGTGGGGCAAAGAGGCGTAGGCGGCCTGGGCATGGCCTCGCGGTGATGAAGGCTCCGTGCCCCTCGAGTGGACAGCACCCGAGGAGGGGTGCCGTGGGATGAGCAGGGGTCTTACTGGGAATGACGTGGCTGCTGAATTGCAGAGTCCGGGCTCGGTTCTGTGGGCCCTGGGGGGGCAGCAGAAGTCAAAGTAGCAACATCAGAGGTCAGATTTCTGTTTTAAAAAATCGGAGTGGTGGTCCGAGCTTGTTTGGCTCAGTGGCTAGGGCATCAGCCTTTGGACTGAAGAGTCCCGGGTTCCATTCTGGTCAAGGGCACCCACTTCGATTGCAGGCTGAATCCTGGCCCTGGTGGAGGCTCATACAGGAGGCAACCAGTCGATGTGTCTCTCTCACATTGATGTTTCTCTCTCTGTCTCTTCCTCTTCCTTCCTCTCTCTCTAAAAATCAGTGGGAAAATAGCCTCTCCAAAAAGCTCCTCCTCTTGCTCTCCTCCTCCCCTCGCTCTCTCCCGCCTCAATAAACTTAAAAGCTTTGAAATCGTGTATGTTCTCTAACCACAAAGGAAATAAATTGGAAAGCTGAAAAACATGTTTTGATGTGAACAAAAGAGCAGAGGACATATGACAAAAGTAAAAAGCTTTTCAAAAATTCATGGAAGCCCAGCCATCGTGGCTCAGTGGTTGAGCATTGACCTATGACTCAAGAGGTCACGATTCGATTCCTAGTCAGGGCTCTGGAAAACGTGGCCTTCAGGAATAATCATGTCAAAAATCTACTTAGGAAAGTATATCATTTTCCAACCACTACGCTGTAACCTGGAAACTAGTACAACATTAATATTGAATGTAAACTGCAAGAAAAAAAAAGTTTCAAAAAGTAAAAAAAAAAAAAAAAAGAAAGAAATCTACTTAGGAACTAAGAAGCCAAAAGATGATTCTGTCCTCTCTGTTCTCCCTTAAATTATGCAATAAACATTATCCTCTCTATCCAATTTTAATGGTGGAATAGATGCAAAATTAAAAACAAATTAATTATCAAGAAAAAATATATCAGATGAGATTTCAAAATATAATTCTTATCCGTAGGCAAAAAAACAGTGGGGAAATGTCATTATTGTTGTTACTATTATTATTAAATGACTGCTTCTTGGAAGCTTGGATATCAACATTGAGAAAACTCAAAAAAACAAACAAAAAAACCAAAAAAAATAAAAATCAATGGGAAAATATCCTCTGGTGAGGATTAACAACAGAAATCGGTGCGGTGGCCATGGGGAGCGTGGATGGGGATGGAGATGCCCAGTTAGCAGCAAACTAAGGAAATGCCCTGAGAACAGAGAGGAGGTTAAGGAGGGAGGTCGGATCAGCAGGACCTCCAAGAGGATGGGGTTCATGATTTGCAGAAACGAGAAGATAGGAAGGAGTCAAAGGTGACTCCTCAGTTTCCAGCGTGGGCACCAGGGCGGTGCCTGGAAGACCTGGTCAGGGAGACGGAAGGTTCCGGAAGGAGCCGACAGGGGCAGGGAGTGCACGTTCATCTGGGGCTGGCTGCGTGTGCAGTGGGTGTGGAAGAACCAGCCGGATGTATCTGCGCACCTGGAGAGTCATCGGACACATCGGGACTCGGGAGAGGGCTGAGCCGCAGACGGGATGTGGGAGCCGTGAGCAGGCGGACGGCCGCGGGAACCCACGCGGTGGACCAGGTGCTCTCGGCGGGCACCTAGCCCCTGTCGGCACGGGGGCGGGTCTGCCTCTCACCTGGGAAGTTGAGTGGAGGATGCCTGCTTTACAACCCCATTTAAAGGGCTGACGGTTACAATGGATGCTAGTAAGTAATTCATGTATTAAGTCAACTCAAGTCAAAGGTCAGCGAGACTCACTTGGCGGAAATCACCGGTGTCGACATGGGGCGAAGTTGTTTTGTTTTGTTTGGGGATGTTCCTGCCGTTTATTTTCTCGGTGTGCCACCCCCTGTCGAGAAGCAGTGCCGCCCCTCTCCCTGCAGGAGGTGTGTGCGCTCTGAGCCCAGCGACGCCTGACCACACGCCCTCCCCTCCCTGCCCAGCGTCCCAGGTCTCAGACGCGTCCCTGTCTCCAAGCTGTGACATTGACCCATTTCCTCAAACCCACGAGTTTCCAAGACCGGAATGAAGATGGGGGCGGGGGGGGGGGACTGTTCTCCTTGAAGCAAAGTAAACTTGAAAAAGGCCCGGACAGTGCAAACAGGCGCCGTCAGCAAGAAGAAACCTTCTGTTGGCACATTTGAAAGGCTGCTGAGCTCCCCGTGTCCCTGGGTAGCCTTTAAAATGCATTCGCCAATTATTTTTTTTAATGGGGCTTTCACCTGAATGCCGCCGCTGATCACGGTAGATGCTTTACTGCGACGGCCTTCATTCAGAGGCGAGGCGAAGGATGGCCCATTATTTCTAATTAAACACATTAAAATTGTTTTATGTTCTATGCGGCATTTAATGTAGACATTTAAATGCTCCTAAAAGGAGGAAATGGTAAAGATTTCTTTCTAATATCAGTGACCGTGATGCCGACAGTGTTTTTAAAACGTATTAACCCATTCTCAGTGTAATTTTTGCATCTAGTTAGCAGGTGGCTGTTAGAGTGCCATCAGCATTATAGGCTGGGGGTGCCATGTCGATGACATTCCTGGAAAAGGCACAGCTTTGGGGACAGAGAACAGCAGTCCCTGCTTGCGGAGCTGAGCGTGGGTGGAGAGAGTGACTGTCGGGGTCACGGGGGGGGGGCGGGGGGGTTGGGGTGAGGGAATTCTTCTAAGGCTGGGTTGTGACATGGTTACACAAGCTCATGCATTTGTTCAAGCTCAGACCTGCACACCAACGAGGCTCACTAGACGGCATGCAGGTACCCGAATTTCCTTAAAATCTTACATGCAGTTTTACATTCGTCTCATCCCAACCTCATGAGCAGCTTCAGGTCCTTGAAAAACTTGAGAGATGGGGGTCCCCTTTGCTTTTGGGGACACATGGAGTCTTCCATCCGGTGAGATCCCTTCGGAGCAGGATCTAAACTGCCGCCCTGACAAGCACAGGCTGCTGACGTGTCTGTGTGCATGTGTGTCGTTCTGTGAGGCACCTCCCTGGGCCGGGTGAAGTTAACGGAGAGTTGTATTTGCTTTTTGGTTTAAGTTCAGCCCATGGAGAGAGAGGAGCAGCCACGTGTGACGTTCGTTGGACACGTCGCTCAGCCCGGAGTCTTGGTGCCTCTGCTTGTGACACGGGCCCGAAAGCCCTGCGTCGCCGGGTTCGGCGTTCTGCTTGGTGCCATTTGCTTGGCACATGCTCTTAGCGAGAGGTTGGCTGAACTCCTGGCCTCCCCTGACCAGCAGGGAAAGGACAGGGTTTCCTTTGGGCAAATGGCTCCCAACGCTGTCCCTGCCCGTTTCTCTCCCAGCCCGGACGCCCCTTTCCTGACCTCAGGAGTCGCACCGGTAAAACTGGAGTGGCTTATGGGAGGCACCTACGCTGGCGGCTTTCCCACGGGGTCTCCGGCGCGGGCCCGGCAGCGGCCGATGTTGTTTCTAATACTAACCTTTTTCACTGTGTTGCCCAGATACTTAAAAGTAAGTAGCGAGACTGGGTTCAAAAGGAAAGAGATGAGAAATGAGAAAAGACCTTTCTAAATTTTTTTTACAACAATCGAGTTTTCCATTATTTAAACCTTAAATAAATAAATTCCACCCAAATATTATTAAAGAAATTGCTGCTTTCAAGTGTTTTCTAAAATCCTATCAGCTACAGTTTGCAGGTCACCATGCGGTTGTTAAATCCATATTTCAAATATGACTTTTCATGGATTATGAACGTTAAGGCCACGTTTAAAATACTTTGCCGATGCTATGATTCCCGTTGGGAGAGCTGGTTAACGCATCTACTTCACACCAGTTTCTTGTTCAAACTTGATACGTTACTTTGTATCCAGGCTCAGCATCACAGTTTCACATACTGGGTGTGTCTCCCCAGATCTCGGAAGCCCTATATCCCACGAGCAGCCCGACACCCCCTCACTGAAAATGCAAAGAAAAGCACGGTGATGCAGTTGTGGCGTCACTGCAGACTGCCTTTGCTCTTTTCTGCGAATATGTTGAGGAAGGAACAGGTTCTTTCTCTGGAAGCAGGAACACTGACTGTTCTAACTCCATCAAGAGACACTACTCGAGGGCGTGCTGTTGCCTTTGAATTCTCGCCGAAAGGAAGGAGGGGGAAGCTGAGTGCTCACTGCCGTTTCCTCGGCTGCAGTTTCTTCTCAGCCTAAGAAAACCGGCTTCCACTCCAGCCCGGTTCCTTGTTCCCCGCCGGGGTCCCCTTTCCAAGCCCCAGGGCAGGGCTCGCTGGCTGCTGGAAGCAGTCCCTCCATCCTTTCCTGACGGGTGTCTGTGTGTCTGCCGTGACGTGCCCGGTGGGCCTCAGAGCACTTCCTGGAAGAACCCGCCGTGGAAGGAGATAGCCTGAGCTCACAGTCTTCCCCGCCGAGGAGTGCGTTCTCTGGGAGGCGTGTGTTGGTCTAGGAGTCGGTGCGCCTCCTGCGTGGCAGCCTTGCCTGGGTCGCTGCCCCTCCGCTCAGGGTGGCCAGCGGGGCGGGGGGCAGGCTTGCTAGTGAGGAGTGAGGGTTGTTGCCTCCTGCCCGGGGGATTTCCTGTTCTCCCAGCATTCCTAATGGGTCCCTGTGTGTCCTGAAAGTTCCGCCGTCACACCCCGTCTCAGCACGGGAAGACAGCTGTCATTGCCTGGCTGTTCTCCGGTACCAGCCAGAGCGTCCTGTAAGCTGAACTCTCAGTCATTCCACAAGCGACATGGGTCCCTGGTCTGAGCGCTCACCACCCTCCCAGGGTAGGGGCCAGCTTCCTGGGGCCCCCAGTCCCACCTCCTCCCTCTCACTCCGGGCCGATGCCTCCCGTGTAAATGTCTCCGAGGCCTCCCGGCATCCTCTCTCCGCTTCCTTCACTTATGAACATCTCCAGCAAATCACTTTTCTGTATTAGTCATGGCAGGTCGCGTCTCTGGATGGGAGCTACGGGTCAGTGCTGTGCTCTTTGGGGTCAGGGCAGAAAACTCCCTCCGGTGGGATTAGCCTTCGTGGTGGGTCACGTGCTTATACTCACGCTCCCCCCTTTGAGACTTTTCTCTGCCAGTTTCTCCTTTCT